ATTTTGAACCTGGGCAACCATTTCAATTGCAATATTACCAACAAAATTAGGGAAATAATTTCGAGTACAAAGTCTATGGAAGTTTCTAATCGGAAACTGTTTTCCATTTTCCCTGGGAAGAGACAATCCATTCTAGGGCTATGCTCGGTATTACGTAAACAACTTTGTTTTATATGTATATATATACAGATTTAAATTTTTAAATAGTTGGCAACCCTATTCATAATTATTACTTCTGGATAAGAGTGCATTTAAACGTCCTTCATTCTTCTGAATGCGTTATAATATTTTACTCGATATATATTTAAGTCCCGCGGATTTTAAGCATGTGGCAACGAAATTAAAAAAATTTATTTTTACAAATAAATAAAATAAATTCAAAATAGTGCTACAATCATTCAATTTGATGAAGTGTTACGGAAGATATGGCGCTTTATTGCCCGGATACAGTGCTTTAAACTTTTCAAAATGCTCTTTTTTTAATAAATAGCTTTAATTTGAACAACGTGACTATTTTTCGCATATGCGTTAGCTTCCCCCCTTCAAAATAAGATATCAGTCATTAAATTTGATAAAATATTAAAGGAGATATCGTTTGGTAACATAAAAATACCTTTTAAAAATAAGTATATAAATTATAAAATTTAAATAGACTAAATTTATTTGTGCATAAGGATAAAAAGGTCCTTTAAATTTTATGCTTGAATATCCTTGAAAATTTGCAATATTTATTTTTGAAAAAATTGTGCGATCAATACTAATATACACAAGAAAACATTATCGAATTTGGTCCTTTTAACTTTATTACGTTAAAAAGCAAAAATAATTTAAAGGTCACTTTCAGTCTCTGCTCCTCCTTGACAACCAATAAAATTTTGTTGATTTGGAAAAAATTTTTTTTTCATTTGGTACCTAGTATGTATATTGTTTTTCCACATTGCACTGAATTTTTCAAATAGTTTTTTGAATTAAGCATATCTTTCAAATCTCAAAGTCGTTAAAAAAAAAAAATCCTAATGTCAGAGAGCAAAACTAAAAACCAGTTTTATTAGATTAGGCCTCAAGTTTAGTGAGTAAACTCATTTTTCATGTGTTTCAAAATTTTTAGGTTTTTGTCGCACGCTGTAATTTTTGCTTATTAATTTCTTTGGCATTCATAAAAATATTTGATTAATTCTGAACTTACTTTTGTTTTTAACAGTTCCGGAAGGAATGGTATAAGTGCTAACTTATTAGAAATATTTTTTTTATGTAAAGTGAAAATATAAATAATTTTTATTTATTTATGGGTAAAGCAAAAAAAGCATCAATATCACAAAAAGCTGCAAGCTCTTTTATGGCCACTTCATTCTACCCACTCCCCACTCACATTCGTCTGCTAACACTTCAAACAGTAACGAGTTTACTAACAAACATAAACTTTTCACATAACACGCACATCAACTAACTAACTTTCATTGACACGCGCAAGCGGTACAAGTACAACATTAAGACTGCTCGGAGACAATGTAGAGGTTGGTAAACTTTATGGTACCATAGCCACGGTGCTGTGCCGCCAAGTTGTCGGAGTTTATTGGTGATAACCGCCAGAGTAACAATAACTCAACTTCAAATAACAACCATGCATTACCAATTCCTAAAAAGCTTCTATTACCATATTTTGGCGAAATGTATGTAAGTTTCTATATATGTACATACATATTTGTATTTGCAACAGCTCAACATAATTTTCACATGAAACCCCAACATTGCAATTTGAAAGAACATTGTAAGGCGTACTTGATTATGTGTTTGTATGTCCATAGTATGTACATTAGGGAGCATCACTTTCAATACTAAAAACAGATCGGTTATGTTTTGCAAGAGAAATATAAAATTTATTATATTTTAAGAATTCCGCCATAATATTTCAGAAAAATATTATGATTTTGGGAGCTGGAACTATTTCAAAAAAAAAAAACAAAAAAAATTTTTTTTTTTATAAATAAAATTAATTTTTAAAATATTTTTTCTGAAAGATTACCTCAGATGAGAGAAGAGTTTAGGCTTAAAATGTCTGCATAAAATGTTTTAAATATTTCATGAACGGAATCAAAGTAATGCTATTTTTGGAGTTATTTTCAAATCGGTGTAGCAAACTTACATCTTAATATTTCCCGAAATATTTGGGCCGAAGTCTTAAAATATAAGAAATTTTATAATTTCAGTGGAAAGACAGCAACTTTTTTTTGGTGGCGCACCCTAATGTACCTAACATACATACGTGCCTGTTTATTTAACTAGACACATTTACAACATTTTACATGTAAATTTTTTCGTTTTGATTCCTATCCAGCTTGCGGTTTATATGTCGTTATCTTGTTTTTCTTCTTTGTTCCTTTTTCACTCTTCGTTTCAACGACTTTTCTTTTTATTCGCGCTGTAATTCATGTTTCCATTGTTTTATAGGTTTTGTGTGTTGTTTTTTTTTTTGTCTACGGAACAACATTTGAAATTTGTTGGGCGTATAATTTTGTACTTAACTTTTCAATGCCAAACCAGTAAAAGCCAGGCGTCGACAAAAGTTACTCATACGCCATGACCAACACAAGCCAAACATATGTATGTTTGTAGTTATGAATGGGAAAGGAGTATGCTTTAGCTTTTATTATGATACTTAGCGCCATTTTATACCTCATGCATAGTGATTTAGTAGTAATGTTTGTGCAAAAGGTGCTAAACCTAACTTTTAAGGCGTGGTTTTTAAGTAAAATGTTATACATAAAATACTAGCTTGCTACGCCAAAGAAAAACACACGTATGTATGTATTTAGAGTTTTGAAATTTAAACGTTCTTTTACTTTTCTTACTCCTAACGGATAAAAAATATTTTTAGTTTAGCTTATGGTGGGGCCATTCGCATCGCAGCCTATTACCAGATCCAGCCCCCGCGACTGGGCGTGTGACACCAGTTCGCGAACTGCTTGAGAGGCTGTAAATTACCACTAATCTTGCAGTATCCACAGCTTACCACGAGAAGGTTACAGGAATAAAATACCCTACTTTTTTATATTTTTATTTTTTAATTTAATTTTTTTAATCTTTGATATTATTTGATAATTAATTTAACAGAAGGAAAACTCAACAACTTAAAAAAAAGAAACAAAAAAACCTTTATTGATTCCGATACAATTTTAGTTTTCGTTAATTAATAATAATAATAATAATAATAATAATAATAATTATAGATTGGCGCTTACACATATGTTAGTGTTTGGCCGAGCTTCTCCTCTGATAATTAGACTATTTTAATAAAAAAAAAAAAATATTAAATTTTTTTTTAGTAATTTAATTTAAGCAAGAAAAAACTCAACAACCTAAAACAAACGCTTTCATTAATTCCAATGTAATTTTAGTCATCGACAATTACATTATTTTTGTCAAAGAGACAGATATTCATTAATATCTTCATTTTCAAGCTCTACGCAAGCTAGCAATTGAAAAGTTTTATTAATTTCTGTGTAATTTTCATCATCGTCTTTAATTGCCTCATTCTCCTCAAAATTGTTAGACAAAACGTTCTCGTTTCCAAGTACAGCAAGTAATTGAATGACTTCAGAAATAAGAGGCAATAGCTGATATCGCTGCAGCAGTTGTGCCCATTGAACTTTTAAAAAAATGTTGTAATGTTGTTGCTGCTCGTCAAAATTTCCTGCAAAGAGATTCCCTGAAGTTCCCGGAATTTCCCTGCAATGAATTCGCTAAAAAATTACAGGTAGTTTTTTTTTTGTCAAGCGATGTCGCACTAAATTGAAATGGTTGTAAACGAAATAAGGCAAAAATATGCAAAAACCAAAAAAGCTTCTGGATGATCTTTCATGCCCTAAAATTGGTTTTATTAATAAAAAAAGTTATGAACACGTAAAAGCTTTTGTTGTTCTTAGGATGTAGGAAGCACCAACATTTTTACGACACTAAAATCCAATTACAAACGTTCATTCATTTCTATTGAGACCAGCTCAGGCTAATGCACAAAAATACATTTAACCATGTGTAGGTGTCTAACACAGCTATTCATGTTCACAAAGAAAGTTCCAAATTGCAGCAATTTATCATTGTATTAAACAAAGAGAAAATTGGCAGCTAAGATGCTGGCACATTTCTTATCAAAATAAGTATATTTCTTGAAATATCAAATCGACGCCGCACATTATTTGTAAAGGTGATTTGTTTACTTACTTACTACGTATATATGAATGTTTTTATTTGTAAAATTCTAAAGGGAGCCAACCAAGCAATTTGCAACTTTGTTTACATTTCTGTGTCCACGCAGCGAAAATTGCGTACAAGTATAAGTACGTAGTACGCATAGGAGTCAAGGGAATACAGTTATGTACACACATTCATCTGAATGGCGAAGTTCAATTTTGGGGGGCTGAATGAATACTTGTGATTGCGACGCAATTTTACGCTTTTATTCTTGCTATTTGCCAGTGATGTACATATGTATGTATGTTTGCAGAGGCATCCTTACATACGTATGACTTGTGTTGGGGCAGCATCCATTGGGAAAAGCCGACATTTCAAAAGTAAAGAATGGCATAATATTTTGACATTTTTGTAAAGCCTACGTTAAATGTTTTTCGTTGCTTGTCAGTATGGTCTTAAAGTTATAATAATTATGTAGGCGTAGAATAATAGCGTGAAAAAGGAGGAGGGGAAATCCATAGAAAAAACCAATAGAAGGAATAATATGAAGTCAATAAACATTGTTCAAGTAAACAAACATATCCCGTACAAGCACTCGTTCCTTGTATCATATTTCGCATAGTGGGTACCTTGTTTGTACAAAAGAGTTTGATAGATTATTATTTACTTTTCTTCCTTACCGATACAAAAGTATTAAATTAATATTAAAAAATATATCTATAAGTTACGATTTAATAACCTAAAGATATATATATATTATGTAAAAAAAATTTTGCCAGAATAACAAATATGAAAATCCTTCTTTTTCATCTTTCCAGATTAACTCTGTGACACACGCTACCAACGTGAAATGAAAGTTAATGTGAGAGAACGTGCTGAAACACACTATTGGATTGTAAGTAAAATCTATTGCAAAAATACCAATATTTTAAAGATATTCAAAAAATTATTTGGACATGACAGCCGCAAATAAAACAAAATTTAAAATTTATCTGCTCTTTAAATACAACTGATAAAATTGATGTAAAGGGCAGATCAATTTTAAAAGCTTCTTGAGAAAACGGCCCTAACAGGGCAATTCTGGTAACTGTCTTACACCTCACAAAAAAGTCTTTCGTAAGACAGTTGTCTATTCTGGCAACTATCTTAAAAGCTCCTTACTGTCTTTCGAAAGACTAATTGAAAACTCTGCTAACGAGGAGGTCTTAGCGTTATGCTGTTTGGCTTTGAAGATTTTTCAATTAAATTAAATTTAAAAAACATATATATTTCTCTTTTTAAAACTATCAAAAGTGATAAATAAAAGAAATTTTAATATAAATAAATAAAAGATGAAAATGAAGCAAAAATAAATAGATGAAATGTTTTAAAAATTAAACTAAATTCAAATAAAATAATTAATTTAAAGGAAAAAAAATTTAATTAAAAAAGCAAAAAAAGTTCCGCCGCCCGAAACTCGATCTCGTGATCTTTCGAACGGCACGCCCTATGCTCTGCACACTCGGCCATTGCGACAGTTGGAGCGACGCGAGCTATCTTGCCATCTGCCTTTCATTTGTCTTACGAAATTCTATTTACTGCGGAGATGGGCATCGCCTTGCCCGCGGGCAAAGCTCTTTTAAGCTTTCTATCTATTTTGTATAGAGACATGCAAAGTAAAAGCTCTCTCTGCCCGTCGCTGATTTACTGTATTAGCCAGAATTGCCCTGTAAGAGTATGCATTTTATAGCTAAAATCTAAGGAAGAAATTATAAAAGATTGGATTTAATTACTTTCTGAAAAACTTACATAAGCTCAGCTTTTTATTTTCGTATTTTCGAGTCAAAAATGAATGCGAATTTTAGATGATATTCGACACTTTTTATCTTTTAGTCGTTTAATCTGAAAATTCCCAAAAATCCCGATAAATATTCCGAATACATAGTCTCGAATAAAGAAATTCCCAAAACGCCCTTTAAGGATCTGGCAAAAATTTCGAAAACCCTAAAAAATACCGAAACGACCCAAAGGTTAAAAAAATTTCTAAAGCTAACAAAAAATCTCGAAAAATTCCTAGCAAATCACCAAAACTCTCCTTAAAAAAAAATATAGGCAAAAAGATACGAAAACATCCCGAAAAGCCACTAAATCCTGAAGGTTCCCGAGATAAAAATAAAAAACAAAAATACTTCAACTTGCCTAAAAGAAAGACAAAATTTGTAAATCCATGAAGGAATCATATTTTTCAAAGATGCATTTAGTATTAACTTCGAAGAAAAGGTACGACCCAGAGGTTCTTACCTTAAATGCAATGGCAAAAATACAACGTTAAACATAAAGAGTCGCTAACTCTAGGCCTCCAGGAAGTTGTGACCGGAAGACCTGCCAACTCTTGCGGTTAATTAGGGCTTAAATGAACTTATGGATGCTTTTACAACACGGATGTATTCGAGCAATCGGATTTCAAATACCACATGCAACCAAAAAGTCCTCCGCAGGGCCTTGGTAAGCGTTCATTCAATACCGGCGTTAAAACTAGGTCTTCTAGGGCCGTATTTCCCAGTAAGAGTATTGTAGCGCTGAAACTCCAAAAATGACTAAACCAAGGTTTCGTTTTGCACCCTTTTATGAATGGTATAAGAACCGCTTTGTGCTAGCTAATGCTGAGCCTCTTTTTGAACACAAGTTGCCAATCGTGCCGAAGCCTGAATCAAAGCAAAATCGTGTAGTCTGATCGGGTGCTCATCTGACACGATAAGCCAAAGAAAACAAAATAATGACGTCATTACTAATACGTTCCCGCCGGAGTTGACCAACGGTAATAATTTAGGTTATGTATACTAATATATGTACAATAAAAGTATTTGACTACATTCTACACCTTTGGCTTGTAAAACTCAAAATTGTTGGTCAGTGCATAAATAGCTATTAAGGCCATTTGAATGCTTTTAACGTTAATTTTGCAAATTTTGGAAAAGAAATTTTAATTTTCAAACCGTCCCGGACCAACTCAGCTGTTTAGTACCTACATTTGCAAATTTGCCATTAAATACCTCAAGAGGAAAATTAGATAAAATATCATAGCCAATTATGTCATTTCATGTCCCAAACGAGTGTGCACGTTTACAACTAAGCACACCTGCTGCATGTGCACAATTGCTTGGGCTGACAAACTAAAATTTATAAATTCAAATACTTCAGTAAATTTGCAAGCAAAAACAAAAAAAAAA